CGGGGGCCGGACCGGGCGGGGCAGAGCCGGGGGCAGAGCCGGGGGCCGGACCGGGCGGGGCAGAGCCGGGGGCAGAGGGTCTCGGGGAGCCGCTTGCGGGTGGAAAGAGCTCCCCTAACGCGCTGGCTCGAGCTGTGGGCGCGTTCTTCTGCCACCCTCCCCTTTAGAAAGAATTGGTAAGTGCCAAACAAGGCAGACAGTCCCTCTCATATTAACAACGAAAGCAAAAAGTTGCAAAGAAGAGATAATTTGAGGAGGAAAAAAAAAAAAAAAGAGAGAAAAAGTTATTCTTCGCCCAAACACCCCCGCCCGCCCCTTGAAACACTTAAAAAAAGATGTTGTAATACAAAGCCATATGCAGTCCTGAGGTTGACATTACTATCACCATCTTTCCCAAACACTATAAATAACCTACTGTAACTACCAGTTCAGATAATTAATCCCAGTGTGTCTGCAAATGAGACTAAACATGAGTGTACAACACTTCTCACTCCTCAGTTTTTATTCTAGTGTCATAAGCACTGGATAATCTTTAAAGCTTTACAAATAAGGTGAAGTACTACACAAAACAGTTCTCTAGTGCAACTTGTTGTGTAGTTGCTTATTTATTTTTTATCTTGGTTCTAATAATTTATACCTGTGTTCTTACATTGCTTTATTTACTTTTTTTTTTTAAAGTTCCAGAGCTAATATTCCTAAATATGACTTTGTTTGGACCTGATCCTGTGAACCTAATCAGAAATATCATTCTCAGTACTGTTCCATACAAGATGCTTACATGAATGAGACCATAGCTGTAACAGCACATTAAATAAAGGTTGTTGGTGGAAGGCATTTACTTTTCATGGAAATCAATGGGTTTATTTTTCCTTATATAGGAAAGTCCTTTCTATATGACTTTCACTTGTATTTAACCATTAATTAAATAAAAATTTTTTTTCTACTTACAGCTAATTATCTAAGGGGTACTTGTAAGAAAAGGGGTAGTAAGGTATTATCTCCAGAACCATAGTTTTTATAACACCCTGTTTGACTCAAACTTTCACTACAGTTCAAGGTAACATTTCTAAGTCTATGCTGCACTTAAGGGGAGTTTGAATGAGCATACTCAAAATAGTCTTAAAAATACTTTCTTTGGCAACAGAAGCAAAGATGGAGCAGTGGAACCATCTACTATCCGGAATCCAGAATCCTTAGAAACTGTTTGTGTTGAAGCCTATTATTTGTAAACCCATCTAGCTGGATGCTGAATCTAGGAACTGAAGAAGCTGAAGCCCTGCTATCAAATGTTTGCATATTGCTTATATACCTTTCGCAAAATTACAAATACTATTTTCATTGCATAGAAGTTCTCATTTGTGGCAATTAGCAACAGCCTTTGTAAGCACCGGAAATATTTAAACTAATCTTTCTTTTCTCCCCTGTAAAAATATGTACAGAATAACCAAGTTTTTTCAATTCCAGTATTGCATCTTGTAGTTTTTACTATGATAATTTAACTAATTCTTCCTTGTAAAATCCTAGCTTTAAGAATGTTTTCAACCAGTACAACTTTGTTTTTATAATCAATTCTAATTACTGGTTTTAACATTTGATATCAAATATCAAGGCTACAGTGACATCTTGTGGCATTTTTCGGTAAAGAAGCAATTTTCTTGTAGTCCTGTTACAGTATTTGAACACTAATATCCTGACTTTTTCAACTAGGATTTATCTTTCAGGTATTTTAAAACCCTATGTTGCATAAGCACTAATTTCTACAGAACATTCAGAGGTGGTGATGAATCTGTTTAGACTCCAAAATATTTTCAAATGACATCTAGGTAATATCTTAGAAGAAATAATCACATGCATATTATTTTGTTTTTCACTAAAGAATCCCAAAGCACTTTTATAATCACCAAAGGATAAAAATCAGCCTTTAAAAAATAAGCAAACAAACCCCTTTTGGTTCCTAAAGAAAATGAATTATGACGAGCTGAAGTCTTACCTTTGAATTTTCTTTCCTATCTAAGACTAACTGCGTAAGGCTGTGTTTTTTTGATGCCTTTTCTTCCCTCACAAGTAGGCCTTACCTAAATTAAATGAGTGTATGTGGCAACAAGTACACGTTTTTTAAAAAAAGAAATCTTGGTGCTGCTCATCTGTATGCAAACTGTGAGCTTACTTTAGACACCTTAACACTGAAAATTTTGGTAAATAATCTGAAAATCATCACAAATCTGCTTTCTGTATTTTATTTGACAATGGTACAAATTAAATTTAACAATATCATTAAAAGCTTGTTCTATTCATTTTTTCACTGATACAGAAGAACAAAAAACCCCAGAACAAATCAAAACAACTCCTTCCATCCAACACAGGGCCCAATACTAAGATTTGGCTGAGCTGACAGTTTGTTTCACATTTTAAAAATAAGATAAACAACAACTGTGAGTCTTCACAATTCTAGCTGATACTGCACAGAACAGAAATTACGGAAGACCAGTAAGTAAAAGAAATACAGTAAACTACAACTGGGAAAGTTGCATTTCTGGAAAGATGATAGACCTGTTCGTATACTACCAAGCACTACAACACAATAATTAAAAACTACTTTTCACTATTACAACAAAATTAAGCAGACTTTACAATGCCATGTTAAGATTTTGCCCTTTAAGTCTTACAAAAGTACTAGGAAGACTTCACTGAACAGAAATCAAATCCTTTAGCACTGATAGAACAAGGCAAAAGAATCCTCTGTTCCCCCAAAGACTCACACCCTGCTATAAAGAACTTGTCACATTCTTCAATCACTTTTTGTTCAGCTAATGTATTACAAAAAAATGATAAAATTATACATTTTTTGTGCAGATGCTATTTGTTTACTAGGTATTAGCTGTTATTGGTTGCCCACAGATACCTTTGAACTTATACTAAGAATCAATCAAAAGCTGATGCAGATGAAACTAAATCTGCTTTGGATGCCAAATCTGATTCTGTGGTCCAGGAAAATCACTGTCTTTTGTTCTTTCTTCCATACCATAAAAAAACCCCCAAAAAACCCCAACCCTTCTGCAACTGTAATGGAAAAGGTTTGCCCTGCCTATGTTAACATAAGGTTTCCAGAACTACAGAGCCCCAGTTTAACAAAAGCTATTGACAGCAGCTCTGTTTCTTGCTACAAATGAAGCCAGGAAATTCAGAGACTGATAACAGTCCATCCCTGTCAAATATCACTGTAGTGTAAAATACTTTTTTTTCCTAATGCTTTACCCATTCATTGCACATTTTAATTCTGTTGTCATAGTCACCAAAACCAGAGAAGGAACTAGAAAGTAAATATGTATTTGAAAGAGTAGTTAAAAAAAAACAACAGACCTTTACAATTACAAAATGTACACTGTAATAAATGTAGAACAGCTTGCTCTTACTAGGAATTGTAAATAAGACATTTTTAACAAGTGAGGATTTTCCTGGGCACATTTTTGTATCAATGTAAATGCAAAATATCAAAATAAAACTAAGTACTAAAGAGAGTATTAATAAATAACATCCCATCCATTTCTTTTACTGCTTACGTGTCATATTTCATGTATTCATGTTTCTTACATTTCCAACTGCTAGGATTTACCTTTCAGCTGCTTGCAGTGTTTCAGCAACTCTAGGCAAATCAATAATAGGAAAAAAAGCCACATCACAGATCATTTTCCACTATCTCAGCAGGAATAGATATGGTAGGCAATGGTTTTAGGACTATCTGAGATTAAGGTGAGGTACTCTTCTTGCTTTCATAGCAGCTTCAGAACATCTCAGGACACCAAACAGCTTATATACAAAGGGGTTTTGTACAGGAGTGTAGAAACCTGGTCAGCAGTTCACTGTAGCTCTTCTACAGTTTCACTGGGAACAGAAGGAGGTGAGGAGAGGGAAAGCAAGGAAGCATCTCAACATATAACCATCAAAAATATGCCTAGGCCTCATTAGACTAGATAAGTATATTCAAGAAAAAAAGAATCAAAACGTAAGATCTGAAGGGTGAGAGTGCATTTTTGACTGCATGTTTCTGAAGAATTGGCCTAATAATTATAGTAGCTTTTCAGATTTTAAGGAAAGAGGATGATTTCATCACAGCTAAACATTGTTATATATTAAGTTTTTAGAAAACTTACCTTGGTGAATTAGTTAGAAAGGAAAAAAAAACCCACATAAAAGCCCAATGGAGAAAAATCAGAAGCTACACAGAGGGATGGCCAAGATGCAGTAATTACACCTTATTCTCTCCTTGAACTCAGCGGAGTTTACTGAGTACAGTTTAACATTTAACACCTTAAATTCATTGGCTTACATTTTATTTTTGTGATTTGCATAATTAGGAAAACCAAACTGAGAAATCATGATATTAGAATATTTTAAGGGCATGCCATCATAAATATTAACCAGTTTATTTACACAGTAGGATCTCTGTAACAAATGCTCTGCTCGGTGCCACATTCCAGAATAGCCACTGTTAGTGTCTTTTTCTAAATTTCTTATATCAACAGGCTTCACAAACACACCTGAAGGCTTTCCAGTATGCTTGGCTACCAGAAAATTCATGGCAATATCATCACAATTTTGAGTTTCATCTATTAAGGCGTAAACTGCTTCTGGCTGCCGTTGAAAGTCTTCTAAATATCCACTGTGAAAAAATGCTGCACCAATAAGAACCATAGAATACTGATCTCCATTTCCGAATCCAGGGTTCTGCAATTCAAAGCTACCATAACTGTATACGCCTGAAGGAGTAGAAATGTGCTTTCTAGGAACAAATCCCACTATATGCTCTGGAAATTGCTGAAAGAAAAAAGAAATTTAAAAAATACCAAAGTGAACCCCACGCTGTGAAATGTGTGTTAAGTACGTTCAGAGAGATTTATGCATTTTTTAAATGAGAGGAGCACAAGATTATTGCCAGGAAATAATGATATTGTTGACATATGGTCCTTTGATCTGCATAAATGTTGCAATTAAATACAGTTTCACAAAACTGACACAGTATGCCTCACTCCACATCATGCAGTGCCAAGACACATCTTTCCACAAATTGCAGCTGTGTATTTGGCACTGAAAATAACTTTACAGACATTTTATCTTGTTTTGCAAAGCGTAACACTTTTGTTCAACAAACTACTATACTACAATAAATGTAAATAAATTCAGCAGTTAGCAGCTTCATGTTTTTGTAAGTAAGAGTTACAATTTTAAAGTTATAGATTACAGGTACAGCTACTACAAAGGATTATTTTTGTAATTTCCACTATTCAACACTTCAGTACTTCCAAAATCTAACTTTACAACTAGAGAACCAATGGTCAAACATTATGATACAGTATTACTCCAAATAAACCCATTAATCTCAATTGTAAGTCACAAATACTGCTGGCCAAGATGCAAAACATTACCTGCCAAACAGAAAAGGCAAAAGCAAGGTCATGAGCACTGACTAGAGTGTCATCATCCATCATTAAAACAGCTGAAGGGAAGAAAAAAAAAAGAAAAACTTTTAATTTATCAAAAGATTAAATACATGAGAACAGTACGCAGCACAGTATTTGACAAATTAAATGTGAAATTTCTATAACCATTAAGCTGAATTACAACTCCCTGAAAGTAGATTAAGAAAACATAACTATATTTCAAAGCTAAAGCAAGGTTGCAGCTTTGTGGTAGCTGGAAGCAAACCTAAGTTTTAGATTATTTGCCAGGCTGGAACAGAACCCAGCAACTTTTGATCATCTGTAGTACAGCTGGAGAGATATGTGTTGGAAAACTTGGGAGTGTTTGGCAAAGCAGCTTAAAATTCTACTAATCTTGTGTAAAGATACAACTAAAATAGAGTTAGATACCTTTCTTTAGCATATGAGCTTTCTAAAGGATTCTTAGAGTAAAATTTTACTCATCTCCTCACTACTTGCAAGTTCTAAGTAAGCAAGTTAAATAAATTGCACAGGCAACATTCAATATGATTAACTATAGAAGGAAGACTTTGCCTTGAATTTTAGACAAAAGACTATCAGGAAGTGGAAAAGGAAGGATATTCTTGGAACTCCAGATGCATTAAGGCTTTTTAAATATACAGTAGGCACAAATCGTATGACAGTAAATAAAACACTTGGGAAGTTGAAGTTTCTAATGTCTTCCTAGAAATCGTGGGTTTGGAGTAGCAAGGCATGTTAGGAAGGGGGCAGTAAATAGAATTACCTTTACTAATCATGAGTAAGGTCAGGTCTGTAATGCAACAAATGGGGTTTTTTTCCACTTGAAACAAACAGGACTTATTGTTGTACACCTCCTGGAAAGAGCTTAGGAAGAATATGTAGATGAATAGCCAAAAGACTGGGGAAAATACTCTTAAAAGGGATGCATAATTTGAGATAAAAAGCCAGACAGCTAAGGAGGGAGGTTTCTCAGAAGAGCAGAACATGCTTGAGAACTCAAGTCTTAAAGGAATGGATTAAATCAAGTCTTTACCAGATAACTTAAGTCCAGATTAGTGCATACACTCAACAAATACATGCACTATGAATTTCAGGAAGAGAGGCCGAACTACCTATGTCTGCCTGACAAAGGAAATGGGGAACAGTTGCAAAAGCCCATGAAATACTTTGACATCCCTCTTCTTTTTCCTTACTCTTCACTGACAGCCTGTTGGTGGTGTGCATCTGATATCAGAACATCGGTTTCCTCTATACTACCCACATTCTAAGTGACCCCGCACATTCACGGATTTATTACACAGTATAACTCAAACCATCTCTCTTTTAGCATTCAGATTTTAAGCATGAAAGTAATATCAGTAGTAGTGATATGAACTGCTGATTACCTTTTGTTTCCAGCTCAGGGAAATTCTGCAGCCTGTTTCTCATGCGATTTACACTTTGAACTTTAAAGACAACAGGGACAGGATGAGGCCCCAAGGAATTCCACATCTCCTCTGGTGTCTTCTCACCAATGTTGTTCCACACAACAATTACTTTATGTAGGTTGGGGATGGCTTGATAATGATTTAAGAGCTTTAGCAGTAAGTCAGTTCTATTATACGTCTGCATAATAAGAGTAAATGAATCCAAGGTAGACTGACTCTGGGGTTTTGGTTCCCTTCTCAAATTGGGCAATTTGTCATCTTTGATGTTGGGAAGCAAAGCTGTTAAAGCACCTGCCACAAGAAGTAAGACGATGATCACCACAGAGGTGAAGCGGAGTAGGCGGATTCCCATAACTCTTCCTGGAAGCTTACAGAAGTGAAAATACCTTCAAAACAAGTAACAAGAAAGGAAAAGTCATTAAATCCATGTTAATGAGCAGAACTCCCACAATATTAAGCAGATTTTGGTTCAAGTAAATAAATAAGGAGGATTTTAGGATTTTGGCCAATTCCTGTCAAGACAGATACTTCTGGTACTCTGTTTCTATGTTTACTTGCTTTTCACCTTCTTTGGTTAACTTTGAATTTCATTTTTTTGTGAAAATTAATCCAGAATAATTCTTCAGATTGTTCATTGTTTATTATTTTCTCAGTACTGTGTTTTTGAATGAACATAGATATATTTCATCAAATCTATCCAGCTGAAATTAGAAAGCAAATTTGTACTGATTCAGTATTTTCAGCACTGCAGGAGCTCTACTTTAGCTGGGAAGCAAAAGGGAGAGAAGATGCTTCCTCAAGAGCTCCTCATACAGCTTCCCCTCAAGGCCCTTCACCATCTTTGTAGGTCTCCTTTGGATGCTCTCTAATAGCTTTATATCCTTCTTTTATTGTATTCTTACATTAATTATTATATTCATATATAGCTGCATGGGACCACCTGGAGGTGAGGCCACCCCAGTGCAGAGCAGAGAGGGACAATCCCCTCCCTCAATTGTCTGGCCATGCTTTGCCTGATGCCCCCCAGGACAGGGTTGGCCCTCCTGGCTGCCAGAGCATTGCTGACTCACATTCAACTTGCCAGTGACCAGGACCCCCGGGTCCCTTTCCGTGGCACTGCTTTCCAGCCTCTGATTCCCCAGTCTTATATCCCGGGTTGCCCTGTCCCAGCTGCAGAATCCGGCCCTTGTATTTGTTAAATTTCATACAGTTTCCTTTTCTCCTCCTTTACTCGTAAGATTAGTATGAATTGAATGCAAGATGAATACTCTAAGCTTGCTACTTAGTAGTTACTCATCTATATGTATTACTCATGTTAGTAATTTCTAGGTTTTCAGCAGGGAATTCTGATCAAATTCAGTGATCCAGGACAGCTGAACAATTACAATTTGAGAGTGTTTTTTCACTGCTTTTTTAATCCTTCTTTTCCAAAGTGCAAATACCATGCTTGAAAATGTGAATGTAAATTATTTTAATCTAAAAAGCCTCGCGACTCACCTCATTGTTGCCAAGTAGGATCGTTTTTTCCCCCCTTCTTTTTATAGGGCAGTTGTTTGTGATCTTTAAATCTGTCGGAAATTAAAGGGACTATAATTGAAGATCAACAATTATCTACATGCTACCCAGCATTCTTCTACAAAAAAAAGTTCCTCTCAGTTATTGACTGATATACACATTCATGGCAATTATCCCATCCTTTTTCCTATTGCTCAGTTGAATTGTCTCTGCCTCTCAATGAACACTCCAGAAAGAAGTTATGACACCAGATGGTCAAAAACAAAAGAACAGCATGTTTCTCTACTCACAAAATTGTCCCCTTGTGCCAGTGCAATGTCTGTGTGTTCCATCCTTAAGTTCAACTACAGAGATACAAGGAGTTCTCCAGAACCTCACCAGCTGTTGCTTTGTTCACCAGGCACCACTAAAATATATATTTGGCTACCACATTCAGGCAAGTACTCCCAATGAAGTTATTTTATTTTATGGCTCATCCCCTTCATGTTCTCCTTCCACTGAGTTAACGAGTTACATCAGGGGTTTAAGACACAGAATTTTGTTCTTCCCATCTGGTTTGGCAGCTTGGAAAATATAAGTGTAAGCACATAAAGGAAGGATGTACACGATCCTTCCTTTTGGAGGACAGCAGAAGAAACCGGTGTCTGTTAAGGCTCTTAGACTGTGGGAGGGATTTTGTTCCTTTAAAACTAGAAAGAGTCTTTAATTTTGATTTAGGAAAAGTACTGTGAAAGCTCAGAGAACAAGAATTTGCTGAATTTGTTGAATAATTGAACCAATGTGAAATTTCATAGGAGAAATTTGTTTGGGCTACATAAAAAAATATATTGCTTCTTAAAAATACAGATTTGCCAATTTGTGTGTATAACAATCAGAATATGTCCACGTACACAGGTCTTCCCAAATCTGAGTTCCAATTTTACCACTACTTTGTGAGGAGAGGCCACTGAAACCATTTCCAGAAGCTAATCACTTGTTTTGGTTGCCTAATTTTAAAGGTTTAAACAATCACATCTGATTTCTAAAAATTATTAGCAGGAGTGGCTACTCAGCATTTATGAGGTCCACTGTATCCTCATCGTATGTGCTTTTGAAAACCTTAGATCCTCTTTCCCCAGTTTGCAACCTAGTTGCAACAATACTTACCAGTACTACTATAACGATAAATTAAAATTTAAAAGCATACAATATTGTTTGCTGTTTATGAGGCTTCCTTGCTTATAACACATTCTAGTGCTTACAACATGTAGTGACAAGCAAGGATTATATTATTATACAGTCCCTAAATAAAATAAGCGCCTATTTAGATTTTTTAGTATTAGCATCATGGCACTTTCTGATGTGCCGTGAAAGCGCAGATCGGTTTTGCCAGTTAAATTACAAAACTGCAATGCAGGATTGACCTCTTTTAAGAAACAGTACAGTACTCCCTGTACACAACACAAAATAAAAATGATGAAAATAAACCCCCGCTGTCAAAACCCAGTGGCTTAATCCTCGTTCCGAGGAAAAGATTTCTCGAGCGGGTGCCCCTCCTTTGGTGGGCAGCACCCCGTCAGCAGCACCCCGCAGCAGTTCGGTGCGGCCCGGCAGCACCGCAGCATCAGCATCTCCCGCCCCGCGCCCGCGGCTTCGCTCACGTTGCGCTTCCTCCGGCCAGGCGGTGCTCCCGAGGCGGCACCGGCAGGGCAGGGCAAGGCAGGGCGGAGGATCAGAGGTGCCCGCCCGGCCCCACCGCCCGCACAAGCCCCTCCGGTGACTCAGGGGCGGCCCCGCGGCAGCGCCGCTTCCTGCGGGGCGTCCCCGCGCTTCCTCCCGGCAGGCTCCGCGCCGCACGGCGGGTCCCCGAGCCCCGGCGGTCACACGCGGGGCGCGCCGCGCCCCCGCCCCGCGCCGAGCGCCGCCGCGACAGCTGCGCCGGG